AAGGAGTTTTCTCCAATACAATATTGATGAACAAGGTGTGCCACTTAGGTCGAGGACGTTTTATCATGAAAAACTGTGAATGCGGTTTTACCTTCCAGTGAACATTTATAGTTTAATCCACTTACAAAGTTACTGGAGGTTTAAATGCTAAATAATGTACTGTTAGCAGCAGCTGGGAGTTGTATCAGCCATGCAAGGATAGGTGTGGACAGACTGAGGATGCTCAGTGCATCTAGATGTATTTGTAAATGTTTTGAGAACAGATTGGCTCAGTTCCTATATATCACCCGTAAAGATCCGAGTTAGAACTGATTTTCAGTAACCCATGCTTGTCATAAGAGGCAACTAATGGGATTGGGAGGTCAGGCTCACTGACTTGGTGGACACATGTCATAGTATCCCAGTTGCGTAGATTGATGCTCTTGCTGTTGATCACTGGATTGTCAGGCCAAGACTCGAATATTTACCGACCGCTGCCATATAACTGGAATATTGCTGAGTGCAGCGTAAAACTAAACTCACTCACTCACAAACCCATGTTGGTTTGTATGGTCCAGATCTGATCACAAACTAGTGTGTACTGACAGGTAGATACATGGTCTATCAATCAGTTTGTGCTGGTGGACATCATTAACCAATACTGCCCTGCTGGAGAATCTGTGTGTTCTACGTTTGTTTGTGGAACCCACTGTACAAGTTGTGGTGCAGTTACGGTTTGTTTTGCATATCTGGTATGTATTTTTAGTATGGTTGATGCTTGAGATTCTATTCACATGAATGCAAACTGCAAAACCAAGCATACTCACTGGGTAATTTTTATTCTAATACATATTTATAGTAGACATGTTTGTTGTCGGTGAGGAAAAGCTTGCACTGAAGTTGCAGCAAAACAGTCTGCAATCAGACCCTGGTTGATAAGGGCAAAAAGAACTTGATGCTGTCTGCCGTTTCGATCTGGTCGTGATGCGTCTAGGTGCACATGTTACACAGCTGATCAGTGCAGCTGATATAGTGTCTCTTCATCCTCAGCATCTGGGATATAGGCTGGCGCATCTGTAAGTCAGGATACTTTACTCATTGGCCTTGAGGGCTTTGTGTCTTCCAGTGTTTTCAAGAGAGCCAAATCCCTTGGGTGTTTGTAAAAAGTTAGTTATGTAAAACAGCACCTTGGCTCAGACAGCAGATAAGTAATGTTTCTTTCATAGTTATGAATTAGGATACAAAAAGCGTGTTTGTCTTTCCTTCTCTCATTTCAGTGGATGAGGGATCTGAACTTGAACCTATTGTCTCAAGTTTACTCTGTGTAGTATTGGGTTTTATTCCAAGTGCTTGCCCTGTACCATGGAGGACTGGTTTTATTCCAAGTGCTTGCCCTGTATCATGTAGGATTGGTTTTATTCCAAGTGCTTTCCCTGTAGCATGTGGGATTGGTTTTATTCCAAGTACTTGCCCTGTATCATATAGGGCTGGTTTTATTCCACCATTTTGATTTGCCTCGATTATATTCAAAGGTGGGAGAAGTTGAAAGTGAAAAGTTTAGCTGAGAGGACAAATGATTGATCTGTACGCATGACTGTTTTCTTTGTCTTTGTTTATGCTTAAGTGTATTGACATGGGACACATCTACACAATATTCGTGAGTGAATGAGTGAGTGAATATGGTTTTACTCTGCTTCTAGCAATTTTAGAGCACTATCAAGGCAAGGGACACCAGAAATCTGCCTCACATTACCACTTGGGGAATTGAATCTAGTTCTTAGCATGATGAACTAACGCTTTAACCAATGGGCTACCCCACTGCCCATTATTATTCATGATGCGAATGGATATATTGATATTAATGCTTGTTGATACCTGCAGCTATTGATTTAAACATTTAACACTTGTTGATACCTATAGATGTTGATGTTAATGTTTCTTGGTACCTCTATTGATATTAAGGCATTGTTTTGAGAGGATGTACTGATGTTTTGCAAAAGATTTGAGGTGTGCAGGTAACAAAATATAATAAATGTAATTACAATTTCAAGTATATTTTTTCCACTTGGAATTTGTAAAAATTCACTTTGTTTTGAAGTATTTAAGAAAAACGTTCATCTGGCTTTAGTGTTTTAAATAAATTATTTATATTGATAGTAAGAAAATAGACAGCTTATGTATTGTCTGTCGGTGGAATATGCAATCCTGTTTTTATTTTGTTTGTTTCACATTACAATTTTTCAGTGTGTAGAATTGTAATCCATGTTGAAATAGAAGTCTAGCCTTACTCTTCCTGTAGGGGCAGTGGGGTAGCCTAATGGTTAATGTCACGATGAAGACCCGGGTCGACTCCCCACATGGGTACAATGTGTGAAGCCCATTTCTGGTGTCCCCTGTCGTGATATTGGTGGAATATTCCTAAAGGCAGCATAAAACTAAACTCACTCACTCACTATTGGTGTGGTGTGCCTGTGGTGCTTGTCCGGGTTCAGTTGCTATAGTCTGCTGTGAAATAGCTTGGTAATTGATTGTTGATTGATTGAACTCCCTTGTACACTGGATGATGAGGGTTATGTGAGTACTTTCATTAACAACTGGAATTGTTTTATTTGGATTCTTTGTTTTCCTAATAATACAGGCATTATAAATAGTAACTAATTATAAAAACATTAAACATTTGACAGTTTAGAAGATCATTAGCTGATCAAATATTCTTGCAAAATTAATGTTCAATCAGCACTTCACAAAACTTTTGTCATCTTTATCATTTATTTGGGACATTTTAGCAGGGATCATTTTTTATGTTCCCCTGCTGTGATATTGCTGGAATATTTGCTGAAAGAGGCGTAAAACTAAACTCACTCACTCACTCAGTTCTGTATGTCTCACGGTCTCTTTTCCACCCAGACCCTTCCTGCTCCTGTCAAAGCTATGTATTCCATACTGTCAGTTTTTCCACACCTCTGCAACTCTGACCGGGTCGATATTTCTGAAGGTAGAATTCAGTAGTCTCCTTCTGACCATGATTGTGACCAACATCCATATAACCAACACTGTAGTGTTTTATTTCCGTCATCGACAAGGGATCATTCCGTTACTAATGATGCAAATCAATAACAGATAACGCTTGTTCTGGGCAATTGTGGAGATCACGTTCAGACCAACTTGGCCACATAATCCAATCTGCTTCAAGTGACGGCCTTTCTTTCTATTGCTTTTTGCACTGAGCCCTGCTCAATTATGAACCTACCTCCCGATCTGTCTCAATTACTGGCTTGTTATGGTGTAGAAGTATATCATATTGGTGAATGTAGTACCCTCATGTTGGTGGAAGGAGTACGATCATATCACAGGAATTAGTATGCTCATGGCGGGAAGTCGATTTGGTAACTTAAACCGCCATCTCCAAATTTCAGCAGTGGACTAGTGCTTGGGGGATGGTGCGTGTGAGGTGAATTGATAAAGGTTGGCAGTTGAAGAGAGTTATTGTGCTCAGAAATAGAAAATAGACGGTTCATAAATCACTTGAGTTTATGGTGAAAATCTTTTGAGTATAATCTTGTTCTCTCAGTTGTGGGGGCGATGGGGTAGCCTAATGGTTAAAGCGTCCACTCGACACACCGAAGACCCGGGTTTGATTGCCCACATGGGTATAATGTGTGAAGCCCATTTCTGGTGTCCCCCGCCGTGATATTGCTGGAATATTGCTGAAAGCAGCGTAAAACCCTACTCACTCACTCAATATTGCTGAAAGCAGCTCACTCAACCCTCCTCTCACTCACTCACTCACTCACTCACTCACTCATGTAAATCTGACCTGTATGAGTGTGCTAAAGTTTCCTAGTTCCAGTAAAACTACACTATTTAATATAAATATTGTAATAAATAACTTCCTTATTTGGTGTTTCAATAGAATATATCAGCAGAAAGTTTCAAACAAAACAGTTTTGTAAGCAACCAAATAGTTAAATATAACTCAGTCAAAGACAAGTAAATTATACATTACTATTATATTGCTTTCAGGCATTTAGCTTTGTTTCACGGTCAGAAATAATAGCATTCTGAGACAATGTGTTGAAAGATGGACGTTGTGGACAATTTAATGCAATATGAGCCACCTCGTTAAGTGTTTTACCATGGAGGTAGTTGTGTGGTGTCACCATAATGGTTACAAATCACCGTAGTCAAGTGTTCAAGCATCTAGGATACCACAAGATGAACAATCCATTTAGAACAAGACAGTGAATTTGAACTGCCGAGTCCTTCTAAATAGCATCAGTCATCTGCATTATGGAGTAGACAACAGAAGACGGAGTAACTGCTACTTGATGCATGGGTGTAGCAGTGCTCAGGGGTAGGGGTAGGGGAGATGTAGGCACAGCTAAACTGGATGTTCGAAGATGTTTAAGGAAGGAACTTCAGGAGAGAGTAGGGGTGAAACGGTATACCGCGGTATTAGTAGAACAGCGGTATTTTGCCTTCGGTTTGGTATACCTTAATGGAATGAAAAAAATCAGTGTTTTTGTTTTGTCATTTTATTAACCTTTTTAAACCTTTTCTAAAATGTTTAGAAATCGAATCATTTTGTCAAAATCTATACATTTCTTTGCTGTACACACACTATTTTCCCGGAAGTAACTTCTGATATACCGAGCCGAAATGGACCAAGCCGAAAATCTTGTGCCGCAATACATACCGTACCATGGTAAGAGCGTACTGCTTCACCCCTTGGAGAGAGAGAGTTTAATGCTCACAAGAAGTGTGTTTGAATAGTGAGTGAATTAAAATGTTACATCGCATCAGCAGTATTGCAGCCATATAGCGATGACAAGTGTGTTGAGGTGCTGGAGACTTATGTGGGGTGTGATAGAGGAAGTAATTTAGAGTTTATTCTCACAGGTAATGTGTTTGAGATGGTGAAGACTTTTATTGTATAAGTTGAGAAAGAGGTCTACAAGTCAGAGGGAGTTTCAGTCTCAAAGAATATGTTCAGTTGGGTGAGACTTGTAATCGGTAAGGAGTTTGAGTCGCACAAGACATCTGTTTGAGGTGTTTGTAGACTTGTATTGGACAAGGTACATGATTGGAGATTATGAAACAGATGGTGTTTGTCTCACAAGATGTATATTGGAGGTTGGTGAGACCATTTAAATAGTTTCAACAAGAAATGAGTTGTTAATGCTCACCTATAAACAACTTATGTCATCTTTAGCAGGACTTGGCAAGGAAACCAATGAAGAGCAAACATGTTTCTCTTTTGCAGTATTCCAAACTTGGAATGTCAAGGTAGATTGTGACTGTGGTGTATGTTTAATGATGTACTTTTAATACCCACTTCTGTTGATTAGTTTCTCCTATTTTCTGGCCCTAGGGTGTGTATGATGACTGATTATATTCCGGTCAGGACCTAACATTGTCAAAATTATGGTAATGAGACAGGGCAAATCCAATATGGCTGCCTCTAGAGGTGTTTCCAGTTAAAAGCTCAACAACGTTATCGAGATATCAGTTAAAGTGACTCTTGGTAGATTGCCTCGCTGGTCAGTAATTACACACAATGGGTGCTCGTTACTATTTCAATTTTTCATACAAAGTGGCCGACAGAGTGTTAAAAGGTGTCTGTCTCTGTGGTGCTGTGATGCACGGGTTAGAGCACAATGTCTGACAAGATTCATATGCATGTAATCAGATATTCCAGATTAATATCCACGCAGTGCAACACCCTGTTACCTAGATCCATAACTTTCTTGGCTTTCCTGGGTTTTCGTGCCATTGTTGATGGCACCATGATCCATACTATTTTACTGATGCCCGGCAAATTGGAAAAGATATAGATGGAATGGAATTATGGATCAGTTCAAGTTGAGCAATGCCTGCCCTCGCTGCTGTACGGCAACTACAGCACCTCACTTCCACCACTTTCCCCTCTTCACCGCCACTCGAAGGGGGATACACTTAATCACTAAATAGGTTGTAAGTTAGTTGTAGGTGACTCCCAGGGTGCACTGGTTCTCTAACCAACCACATTTACTTGCATGATAGGTAATTTGTATATTAGTCTGTTTCTTGGGGATCGCTACTCAGACAGGATCGTCACTTGGCTTGAGAATGAAAAGTGTTGAAAATAACAATATGGCAAATCATTCCTTAAGAATTCTTGTAGTGAATTTTGTATATTAGAAGGATAGATAGTCTCGGCATTCAAACTAACAACAGAGAGTAAAACTATGTTTGGTGTTCCGAGGCAGGTTTCTATTTCTTATTCTTTTAATCTTTTGTTGCGGTTGGAAGTTTTGTTCAACTTCTGTAAAATACAAGTAAATCAAGAATCGTTTACTGCCCCTGTTGCAAGGGTACAGTTGATTTAGATTTTCTTTCAGATAATGTCTCTCCTATCCACCTTCTACACACGCATCTATTGCAGTAAAGAAGTTGTCTGTCCATAAAAAATGTTCCTCATCATCATACCAGCTTCTAAATTTCACTTAAAGAAGTTCTCAAGAGTCCAAAACAAAAATGTAACCATTGGTTCTTTGCGGACTTCACTGAATATTTATTTTTTTCTTCTATGACATTTAGCAATATTCCAGCAATGTGAAAGGATGCTAGGCCACCCCACTGCTACGTACCCCTAAGTAGTGTGCAGTGAATGTCTAGCAGAACAACTAGAGTACTGACCATCACTATGTTGAATTGTTAACAGATTTATTCAAACCAGAGTTCTCTGCCTACATTAGGATTCCAGCCAATGTTTGTAACAATGATGTGAACTGTATATTAACATCAGAATCAGACATGCAGACAGTTACCCTCAGATCTGACTTGTAGATCCAGGGAATGAACGTTACTGTTGTTTGTGAGGGATGTAATTCCAAATCTGAAAATTGATATCTGATTTATGGGAACAGTTTCTTTCTCTCAATACAGTCTATTTATGTTCCTTATTGATGAATGCTTTCTGAAGGCCTTCTCTTTGCCTTTTTGTTACATAGAACTGAAAAAATGTTGTCATCCTTTACTGCAACAGCAAAAGATACTTCATTTGAGAATAAACTAAGCTAGATTCCAATTTCCAATTTCATGTCTGAGAACATAAAAATGTTTGCAATCTGAGCACAAGCCTATCGTCTGAAAGTTAACAGTTGTGAATGTGTTACAATTATTTACCATAGTAAATTAAATCATGTCCAAACAAGCCTGCTTGTTGGTTGCTGTGTGATATATACTGTTGCTGATAGGACCTATGACAGTTGTTACCATGTAGATATGGCGCCGAGTTCCAATTCCATTAAAAGCAGGAAATATGAGGTGATGCGATCAGAGTGTTCCGTTTCTGGAATGACCTTGGCATGGTTCATTGGATGAGCAATGTCTTTCTTGCCGACTGTGGTGTGCACACGACCATGTAACACGCTGAAACATTACTTCCTGTGACCTGTCTCGGGGGATGCTGGGATGTTTGCATGGAATTGGTCCCAAGTACCACATCGTTAGGGACGGTGACAACGAGGTTGTCTCCATATATGTGATCAGTATGTGGATATAACGAGTGTAATGGCTGAGTCAGTAGCCAGTGTCCCAGTGGTAGTACATCAGTGACAATTTATGATATTGATAGTTGACATCAATACCATGCTAAATAGTTGGTAGTTACAACAGGTTTAATGCAGGGAAAAACACAGTATACTCAGGCTTTGATCAGAACTACTTCCATTACTCCTTTAGTGAGTGAGTGAGTGAGTTCAGTTTTATGCCGCACTGAGCAATACTCCAGCTATATGGCAGCGGTCTGTAAATAATCGAGTCTGAACCAGACAATCCAGGTGATCAACAGCATGAGCATCAATCTGCGCAATTGGGAACCGATGACATGTGTCAACCAAGTCAGCGAGCCTGACCACCCGACCCCATTACTCCTCGTGGTTCAAATGTTTGCTTGTCACCCAAGAGACCTGGTTCATTGGATCCCACATGGATACAGCCATTGTGATGCTAAACTTAAGAGGTGTAAAACATCATTCACTTGGTCTCTGCCAAATGGCGCCAAGCACAAAAGTTGTTCCTTGCATCATTTCCAGACCAAACAGATTTGAGCTTTAGACTTGTGGCAAAAGTGGCAGACACACTCTCTCATTCACTCACTCCGCTCTCAGCAATATTCCAGTTGTATGATGGCAGTCTGTAATGAATTGAATCCGGACCAGACAATCCAGTGATCAACAGCATGAGCATCGTTCTACTCAATTGGGATAGGATGACATGTGTCAACCAAGTCGGCAAGTCTGACCACCCGATCCTGTTAGTGGCTTCTTATGACAAGCATGGATTGCTGAAGACAATTCTAACCCGGATCTTCACGGGTGATACACTGCCATGATTGTGATTTTATTTGGAACATTGTGTTTCTCAGAGGGTTGAATGGTTAACTGGACAGTGTGGGACTTGTGTTTGATTATACCCTGAGTTTCTGCTCACTGTCTGTGTGGCTTTTCTGTGCTCGTTTCCAGACAGTGAATCAAGACTTATATCTTGTGAACTTTATATTTCAAAATTAAGCTCAAAATCAAAGCTTAGAATTTTATGTTTTATAAACATATAGAAGTTTCGATTCAAATGTAGAGTATGAATTGAAATTTGTTTGATATAATTGTTTTCTAAAGACATGGTCACATGGCCTGGACCCTAAAAACGTAAACCTTTGAGTGTGTTTCAATGCACTGTTTGTCTATTGACATGTTCAGTAACATCTGGGACAACAACCTTGACAATATCAGTAAAACAGCAGAAAACTTCAAATTTGGACCATTATACAAATACTGTTAACATTGATCCTAAAATCGATGTCAGTCAACATTGTTTGCTGGATTTTTGTAGTTGATAATTTATGAGCACTTGGTTACTTCTGATAGATCATTCATGCATCACTTGCAGTGTGCTATGAGAGGGTGGGTTTCTTTCGATATGTTGAGTTCATGGAATTCCAAATTGTTGTATGGAAGAACTTGTGGGATTCCCAGATGCTGTACGAGAGACTCAGTTTGTGTATCAATTGAGGTATTCATGTTAGTCTCCCCTAGCAAGATGGTCAATAAATGTGTCTGCACTCCAGCAGCCAGATAGCAGGAAGGGATGCATACCCTCGTTAACAGGTGCTTTATAGGTATGGCTGAAGCACCGCATATAGATCCAGTCGGGGACCACGTTCTCCAAATAGTCCCAATTTGACGGCACTAGATGGACAAGTTGTTAACCATCGTTTAAGTCTGCCTGCCTGAAAAGCTCTTTGGCAAACAGAAATGAAGCTATTTACTGAAATTATTCCCAGAAATGTATGAGATGGGTATTTAGAAGATTGTTGGGGGATATGAGAGGATGTACGATAAGATGAATTTGATCGAGGGCTGTTTGAGATGAAGGGGTTGATGGGAACAGATTGATATGACCATTTGAGAGGGAATGATCAACAGTATGCCACTGTGTCAATGCATGGCAGGTATTCAGAAAAGCGTACTATCATCCCAATAGTAATTGTTTGTCCTGGGGATATATTGTATAGGATTTTGATGCACATTGCTATTGCTAAATGTTGCTCTTTATGACAAGCTCTAACAGCTCATAATGGTTCATACAGAAAAATACAACCGATATTGGTGGCATCAATATAGTGAAAACCACTCTATACCGGCTGGGCGAGTGTGTTTCTCAAGGTGCTGATTGTCGGGGCACAAAGAGATTATATCATATCTAACAAGGTTCCATGTCACCGAATATTATACAAGGGAAACGATTAATCCAGTACCAGTGAAACGTTTTAAGACTTTTCAAGTTCAACTATTTCACATGTTAAAAATATCACATGTCTTACTTCTCATTACTGATCATTGCTGCAATTTGTTTATTTTTTTAATATGACTTTCAACTCTTCTTACATGATGATGTTTGCGAAAATACTAAGATGAGCACATTGTTAATGTAGAAGGGGATATGTGTGGATGAGGCCAGGCCCCGGTCCACAAACCGCCCGGTGTTACGACACTATCGTAAGTCTTTGTTAAAGAATAAGCGTTGAAGACAAGAACACTTTTCCACATCGGTTGTAGTGTTACGACCATCGTAAGTCTTTGTTAAA